CCCCTCCTCCCATACACTTTACTAACCTATTTTTTTCATGTGTTTTTTTCAAAAAGGGTAGGTAGCTATGAAGGTTTTGCGAGTGAACAATGAAGCAGAAGTCAAATACAGAACATTATGAAACAGAAAGAACTATAAAGAAAGCATTAAGACAAAATAGTGAAGTTATCGAAACTCCGTGAAATGCCACACAGGAACAAGGGGGAAGTGAGGAACTTTCTAATTAAAGGACCTTCCTTCAGATGTACACAATGCCATCACTTTCACTTCTTGAGGTTTGGAAAATAGCAGGGTGATCCATTCGCTGAAGACTATAACGTTTTCTAGAAGCGCCTTCGAGCATTACGATACGCAAGGCTTGCAGAGATAACAGTTCCTATCTTCGAAAAAAGAGCTCCATCACCTCAACGAATTAGAAAAAAATTGTTTGAGTACATGAAGCAATTCTGCGCGGGTATGCTTTTTTATAAGAAAACTGCTAGCAAAACAGTTGAAAGTTTCAATGAATTCAAGATTTATGCATTCACATCGTCTCTGCAAATGTGCTAGGCACAAAAATATTGGAGGAAAGGGCGGGAGTTTATTAAGGATTTCTTGACTTTGTGAAAAGACCCTTCTGCCTTTTTTTCACGAACACCATTCTACTAGAAGGGGAGTCCGCTCAGAATTTCTAGAGAGTTCGTCTACTGGCCCCAACGAGTAGCGCTGTGTGATGGTTTGCTTCTTCTTCTGATACGGTGCGAATTCGATTACACCACGAAGAGGCTCCACGCAGGGGCTGTATAGAACTTCCAACAAGAATCTAACGCAACGATTAAGCCTAAGCTCCAGTCACTTGTTCCTGTTTCCCATTGACAAGATGCCCTCCTTCCATTATATGTATTTACCGTTTTCACTTGAAGTAATGATCGAGCGCTCGTTCAACCCCCTTACTTATTCCTTAACCATTATCTGACCATGCAGACACCATACCTTTTAGCTCTCCTTGTAATGCTGGTCACAACAAAAATGTGAGTGAAGATATGGAAGTTCATTGACCGTTTCACTGCAGCTCTGATATGACTTCAAATTTTCGCTTTTCAAATATTGTTTCTGTTACAGAAGGAGGCTATTCACGATGACAAGGTGCATGAGCAAGCAGTCGTTGCATTTCACCTACTTCTCCTCTCCTTCCTCCCACCCTTAACTGGCATATAAAAGAACTGTTTTCTTCACTGTGATTGTGCTGAGCACTGGCCTTCTTCTTCTTCCGGCCTAAATATGGTCCCACTTGTCTGTGATTCCTTAGCGCGCATTCGACTCCCGGTGTAGCTGCGATAGGGTCTCGAGCAGATTTCATTTACTGGTGATATTATAAGATGTCACAATTACATTATTTTGCTCCCATTTGCAATTGAACCCTTTTTCCCGAGCCTACACACCCTTCTCACCTGATTCCGCGCTTCACCATGGAATCATTCAAAGATCAAAAGACTCAATTTCACTTCCCTCAAGCACCACAGGAAATTTCCTTATGCCATTTTCTTTCGAAAATCTTATCGAAGCTTTTTAGAGGTGTTAAAGTTCTGAATTCAGTTGAGTTCTCGTCAAGGTACGTTATTCGCCTACCGTAGGAGCAAACGTAGCAGCTAAAACGGCCCTCTCGGAAGTCATTCCTCCCTCATATTTCTCGACTAGGAACAGTTTCCCATCAGACCCATCAGATCAACTTCTCACCACGCTTGTATCAAGTAAATGGTAAAAGCGGAAGATGGATGAGCCATCAGAATGTTATCAGTCGCAAATTTCTCGTCTTCACTGAAACAATATGTAGTTCCAGCTTTATAGTGCGAGATGAGGCTTTTCATACTCGCTTTATCGGTGGCTGTATGCGTGAGCGGTGGTTTGGTTGGAGGTCGCATTGGCTCCGTCAAGGAAAATGTGACAAACGAGGTAAAACGACTGCCACTGAATCTGTAGAAGATTAACTCATCAGGTATTTCTGCAGATCCTTGGATGTAGTATGCTCGAATTCCGAAAAAGGCTGGCAGCATACGAAGAAAAGCATCCGGAAGAACTTGAGCTGAGCGAAGAGCAAAGAAGAAAACTTGCGGAAAAATTGAAAGTAAGTCATCCTCATGAATGGAACTATTAGTTACTGCTAAGTCATTGAATTCATCAGACACTCAAAAGGAAGACTGTTGGGAAAAGTCTTAATGAAGACTCGATTGAAACGATTAACATGAAAAGCCACGTTGCAGACATGTTGTTCCAGGGTGATATGGTCCTTTCGAAGTTTGTTTTCTTCATTTTCCGAGTATTTGACGGCGAAAATTTGCACCAAACACTTTAAGGGAACAACAGGATCAAATCCTTGAGGACGTTGCTCACACTCGCGGTAAGCGACAGGCTCGTAGTAACAAAACCTACCGGTGGCATGAGGGAGTGAGCTACTTTTTCGACGACAGCGCAAGTCAGCTACTTTCACCTTCATTGTAAGAAACTAGCAAAATTCTTTTCGGCATATTTAGATGATGACGTCCGTAGGATTTTCAAGAAAGCGGCTAAGCAGTGGATGGATAGCACATGTGTCGACTTCAAAGAGAGCAAATCTGGTAAATTCAAAGTAATTAAGATCAGCGCATGGTTCATTTAAACAGTAGAGGTTTAGCTAAGGACAGAATTGGTGTATTTATGGGAAACGGATGTTGGTCGTATGTTGGCAAAATCGGAGGGCTGCAGAACCTTTCACTTGGTAAAGGCTGTGAAGAGGTTAGAAACACTTAGTATAAAGGAAAGTTGTAGTTATGGATATGGCTCAATTCCTCTTACTGGAAATTCAAATCCCTCACCTTTCTTTTGGATACAATGTTCAACTGGCAAATTTTTTTCCTTGTACAAAGATTTTCTTCTGTTCAGATCAGAATAGCTGCACATGAAATTGGTCATGCTCTTGGATTCTTTCATACTCACAATAGACATGACCGAGATGATTACATCACCGTTGATATAGGGAACATCAAGGTAACACCTACGACTAGTTAAATGAGCTCCGTGATATTGTTAATGAATTAAGCCTGATAAGATAAGCCTGTTCGAAACGTTGTCGAAGGTAAACAATAACAATTATGGTGTACCATACGACTACGGTAGTGTAATGCACTACGGGGCTTCAAGGTACTCGATATATCTAGCGTGTACTGCATATATTATTAATACTGGGTCGGTGAATGAATTAGAAATTTTTTAGCAACGCTGTTGACGACGAAAAGCTCGTTGTGGTACCCAAGGATTTAAACTACACAGAAACGCTCGGATCACCCCACATTAGTTTCTACGACATTTATATGATGAACATCCACTATAACTGCTTAGATGACGGGCTTGCTTATGCATTTCAGAAAATTCTTTGGATGTGTCAAAAAACACAATGTTCCAGAACGATGCGAAGGCGTAAACACCCGATGCCGGAATGGCGGATTCGCTCATCCTCGTGCATGCAACAAATGCGTCTGTCCACATGGATACGGTGGAAAACTCTGCAACAGAAGAGTAAATGTCTTTTTCAGCTTAAACTCCCACATATTTCGAAATTTTTCTCCAGACAAAGGGATGCGGTAAGAAAATGAAAGCGAGCAAAGATTGGACCACGCTTGTCGATGATCTGGGCGATA